GTAATCACTACAGCTTGCACAACAGTTGTACAAAGGATGGGACACCTTTAACATTCTATACACCACTTCGTATGCAGCTTTTCAGAAACACTGGATATGTGGGCTTTCTTGTATTAGACTGTAGCTTTCATTTGCTTGAGAGTCAGTTCGGGTTACTTTAAATGAACAATGAAATAATATACCTGTTTTGTTTTCTTCTGCTTTCTGTTTCTGTCCCAGCAAATTGTGCTTATGTTGTAGCAGAAATATTAAGATGTACAGCTCTCCTACAAAGGAGAAGTTATGGCTTAAACTCACAAAAGACATATGGTTTTACTATATTATTTTGTTTGAATGGTCCCTCATAGAGAAACTCCAGGGTCATCATAGTAGAAACTTTCAAGCAAAAGTGATGTCACCAGAAATCATTTTAATGGACATTCATCTTCACAGCCTATTGATTTATGTGCTACATGTGAAAGGAAATCAATAACTAGAATCATTTTCATATCTTTTAAGCATCTAGGTGAGACAAAATATATTGTATACTGCAGAAATAAATCGTTAGGGAAAAAAATGGATGTTGGGTGTGAAAACACTTTTTTATATTTAAAAATGTGGTTTTCTTGTTTTATCTGGCACCTATCATTTGATGTATTTGGATTAAAGGTGTGTTTCATCCAGTGGTTGTACAAATGCCATTTCATGTAAAAGAGAGTTTAGAATGAACTTTTCCAAGCTTGAAGGCAAGATCTTACATAAACCAGTACAGATTCATTGATGTTTGCTGGAAAAGATCTCACCGGCTCATTCACTACTTTTGAAGTAGAAATGTCATTACTTTAACAGCTAATAGAAAGAAAATAACTCTGAGATAATTAATTCAGATAACCTAATTTAAAGCCTACTTTTTATCATGGATTGTGTAGAGGGAATAATATGAAATGTTTCTAATATGTTTGATGTATTTCTCATTCACCTCTACTCAGCCAGTTTAGTGGCATTGTATTCACATTATAAAAGGGAATCGCAGAATGTAATAGATCATTAATTATCCCATAAGCTCATTTAAGATTGAAGTACAAATTAGAAGTTTGACATCTTTTTTGAGTGCTTGAACTCTGTTTTTTTTTCTTCTCTCTAGTGCTAGTTTTGAGCTAGTAACTGGTAGTAATACTTAGAGAAGTAATTGAGCCACTGCTTTTTCAGGTAAATTCTAATACCTTATAAGAAGAAATATACTACTTGGTATTGTATGGGAAATTCAAACTAAATGTTAACTTTCTCTGATTCTGTGTTTCGCTGGCTTAGGCTGTCCAGGGAGGTGGTGGAGTCACCGTCCCTGAGACGTAAGAACCTTGGAGATGTTGGCACTGAGGGACATGGTCAGTAGGAATGTTGGAGATGGATTGATGGTTGAACTTGGTGATCTCAGAAGTCTTTTCCAACCTTGGTGATTCTACAACTCTAAAAACAGTGTGCAGCTGAGAATATGTAGAAGTAAATAAGAGGCATTGCTTTTTTTTTTTTTTAGCATTGCTACTTCGTGTGCTGGGGAAGCCATAGATAAATGAATAAGCATGAGAAATCCAATGGTTTCAAAGAAATTCAAAAGGGAGCTCTTTTCCATGGGATTTTTTTTTTTACTGGTGGGTAAATTTAAGTGCATGCATCTCTGACCGGACTTTTCTGCAGCCTTTTACATTCTCTCTGTTCAGAGGATAGAAGATGTAACCATCCACTTCTGCAATCAGGCTTGGATTTAGGTAATTTATTTCCCCTTAGTTACTTGCCAAATTAAAATCTTTCTATGGCTCCTCACAAACACTGACTTCCTCATCATTTTCCAGCAGTGGCTGCTTATTCTGAATAATGGTATGGTACCACAACTAAGAGATAAGAAAAAGCATACAGACGGGGCTTGCTTCTAGTTTTTCTGGAAACCTTTTTCTTCAGTTATGCTTATCTGGCAGATGAAACAACTTGCTAATTCAAAACCAGAATTTTTACATGAAGAGTATAGCTTCCTCAAGGCTTTCCAAAATAAACTGGTATTCAATTTATATCTCCTTCACTTTTTTTTTTCTTTAAAAATCTCCTCTTGTATTTTTTACTCTGTCATTGCAAAGGAAAATCTGTTGTGGATACTTAGTATTCTGAGTTTACTCTCTTAGCTTCAAATACTTTCATGAACAGTCTTAGTTTCTAGTTACCTAATCTGTACCAGCAGTGTTTAATTATTGTGACAGAAAAATATTGAAGTGGGAGTTATTAAAAATATACACTTTTCTTCTCATCTAGAGAGTCTGAAGTATATTGAAAACGTTAAGTCTTCTCAAGCACCCCTGAAGCTCCGTGTTTGTCATAAATGACGTAATGAATGATGTATGAGCTGCCCAGAGAAAACTGTGGTGTGTCGTATTCAGCTCTGTAAGTATTGATGGAAGACCCTCAGGGGGAGTGGGTATGAGTGCTCAGGAGAGCAATGAGAAGAAATAACTTTATTTTTGCTTTTTATTAAGGAAAATAAGTGTTTTAATATCCTTCCAAAATATGGGCCCTGATAACTACAGGACTTTCTCATCAACTTTATTTATTAATATCACAAGAATCTTTTATTGTCTAGGTCTTTTTTTATACTGCGAGAGAAACCTCTGAGCGTGATCGCTGGCCAGGAAAGTCAAAAGAAAAATTCCTGTTGTGTACTGGGACTAGAAGACAATTTACTCTTCCAGTAAGGTCGGGTTCTCTCCTGTACCACCAGACGAAGTTGGTATCAAAGAGGTTGCACAAGCCTTAAGCAGAATAAATATTTCACTTATATATAAGAGTGAAAATAAAATCTGTTGTCTGTTTCTGTAGGAAGTACTTTATATATTAAAATCTGTCAGTCTTTATTAAGTCTGTTGGATTTGACCCTTAAGCTAAAACTTTATGTCTTCCATAAGGCAGTGATATACACAGAAGATAGGTCAACAGGCCAAGTAAGAATGTAGCTTGTGCAGCAAATCAGCGGTGGGCATTAGTTCTTCAGGGCACTGGACGATGCCAGGTATTTTGTTTGCCTAACTTCTTCTCTTGCAGTAGAGGGATATGTGGTAATTTGCTATTTCTCCAACTACAGTTGTCCTGTCTATATGGTGTTGATTCAAATCCTTTAATGCTCAGTATCCTGGACTGCTAAAAATAAATATATTTTAATATCATAGAAAATAAGATTAAACCTTTAGATGAAAACTACTCTTCAACCTTTTTTTTCCTCCTAAACAACATGCACTTTCAAACAGTAAATTTCTGTTTGAATAGAAACTTCTCAACTTCTTACATTCTTCTCAGATTCTTTCACAGTATCTGCTTGAAAAATATATTATTTTTTTTTTTTAGGAATCTGGAAACAAAGGTGGCAAGATTAGGTCCTTTGGCATGGTTTCATTCTTGCAGCATCCACAGTATAGAGTAACCATTCCTATGCAGTGGCTGTGAGTACAGTGCATAAATAGAGAAATGATTCAGAAAATAACAATTCCTTTTCTCCCAGGATTAGGTAGGTAGATGATCATTAAACACGACGGTTAAATGGCTAGGTCCTTGTTACAGCAATCTGCACACTTGTGAATCAATTGCTCAATTTTGCTGTTGCACAGATATACAGTGTATGGCTGAGTGAGCTCCAGGTGGATGAGAATCTGAACCTCACCACCAGAGTCCTGGAGCGCAATCTCACCTGGTGGAATTTTATTGCCTTTACTGTGTCCAGAGACTCTCAACACTCAGGCATTATACATCTATTACCGCTTAACTCTCAGAAATGCGGGGAAGTCATTTTTACAGCCATGCACAGGGAAATAATTAAACACCAGCTTGATTTTAATCAATATGTGTAAGTAGCTCCTTTATTTAAATCATAATACCCATCTAAGCATGTAGGCTCAGGAACTATTACAGCTTTTATTCACAACTGTATCGGTTACTGCCTTATATCCCACCACTTTTGAATTACCCAGAAGTAGATACATGAGAATAATATCACAGTTGCAAAGTAAATTCACTATGGTTATCTCTCCTGATAACAGATTAAACTAAAGAATTTTCTAGCCTGGCCTCACATTTTGAAAGCATAATTTTTAGGAGCAGGACTCAGCTATATTTTATTTAAGCTGCAGTAATTTTCAGTCAGTAGTTAATCTTCCAATCTCCTGATTCAGTTAAAATTATAACCATCTAAAAGCATAGGTAGTATAATTAGAGCCATTTGAGAGTTATTGCAAAGAGAGTAATACATTATTCTGTGTCCACTTGGTGTACAAAATAATGGGATTAATTTTCAGCAAATGAGATTTAGGTTAGGCTTTAGGAAAAGCTTTGTGATGCTGAAGATAGTTCAACAGTGAAAAATTCTCTCAATTCTCTATTGCCAGTGATGCCCAGAGGTTTAACAAACATTTGTTCTCAGTGGTTTAGGGATGGCCTAGCCTTCCTTGAGGGATAGCACCCTGCGCCTCCAGAAATTCTTTTCATCCCATGTGCAGTTACTTTCTATTTTTATTTTGAATTGTCAATACCATTGCTTTCACAGTTTATTACAGTTTTTTACAGCTTTCTTTTTTTAAAAGATGTTTTAGAAAGGTTCATTATGCTGTTACTTTATAAAGTCTTTTTTTTAAATTTATATCTCTCTGTGACTAACAACAGATTTCTGAGAGTAAGGTATGTGATGTTTTTCTTTCATTTATATGGAAATTTTGAGATTGTTTTGAGATTTCAGCTTATCTTTATCTATTTTACCTTAACCAAATGAAAAGAATATGAAGAGATTTTGCAATTTATTTAATTTGCATTGTATTCACTCAGAATCTTCCTTCTGACACCAAAAGCTTCACAGTGAGCACTTGACAGTGAACAAAATGCTTAAACTACTACTGATAAAGAAAGGCATTTGTTTGTTCAGAGCATCACTTTCCAGATTCCTTATTGCTTATGTTCCCCTGGCAGTATTTTTCACTGTAATAGATTTTTTACAATGTTAAGAATGCGTTATAGAATAGAAGAAGCAGGGAAAAAAAGAAATAATTTCTTTGTAGGTATATTGTGGTTCTTTGACAGTTGTCTGAAGGTTTTTCAGGTTTTGCATTATGTAAGCAATTCTGAAGTAAACAGGACTTGTTAAGCTTTCTTTCATGCAGCTCTGATAACATATCTATTTGTGCCAAAATGGGGAGCAATAAAAAGTTGGCTTTTCATAAGACAGTATGTAAGAAAAGGGTTATATTAGTATGCAGAGTCCATTTATTCATTACGCACTTTCTGAGATTCGTGCCTCTAGAGACTTTTTTGTGTTCAGGCCAGAAGAAAACTCAGATATTTAAAAGATATGCAAATTCTTTATGGAATAGACTCAAAACACCGAATGATTTCAAAAGTATTTCATGGTATATTAGAAGCCTGTAGCTATGGGATTACGCTAGATCTATCAGCAAGTAATGGATATTCTAGTAAGTTTTTATTTATTAATTTGGAATCAGAATTTTATATACCTTCCCTATAAGTAAGCTATTTATAATTAAGTTTAGAATCTCCCAGGGGCCTTAGTGTACCAACATATTCATCTAGATCATTATGAACACATGCAAACGTTCCAAAGCTGATAGTGACAGGTTTCCATATTGCTAGCACGCTACCAAAATCTGGTTAGAAAAAGAAAAATGACAAGTTGTTGTAATTATAGTTCGAACATTGCTGGCGATTTTTTAAAATAATGAATAGAATCAGAGGCTAAAAAACAACAAACAACAACAAACATAATAATCATACCTGATTTAGGCTGCGTAAGTCTATTCTAAAACCTAAATGAGTTTCATGTGCTGTGGAGCTGATTCTTACTATACAGGATTCAGTACAGAGAAGCACATCTAAACCTGACCCGTGGCATCATTTACCCCACATTTATTTGCTTTTTCACTGTGCTGTATTTTGGTGCTTTGGTGTCATTGAACCTAATTGCAGATTAATTTTCTTTGATCCTGAAAGAGCCTCAGCTACAAAGGTACCAAAATAATGCTGTTAGGATATGTTCGTAAGAAAATGAATATAATTCTGTTACTTGAGTGATATGAAACATGACTTTTCAAAGTAGTAGAGATTGCATTACAGAAAATAAATTGAGGAAGATCTATCAATCTCATGTATTTTTCTGCTTTTTTGTCCTTTGTGAGTTCACAAGCAGGAGGAATCAAAATATGGGAGACCAGGAGGCCAGTACAGCATACTTCATTGCCTACATGAAGACTAACAAGCTTCTCCTCCAATCCTATGTGAGCCACCTGGAAACCATTGAGGAGCATGAGAACCCCAGTGTCATCTCTATTGGAGACGTTCCAGGTATGTTACCAAAGTGATGCATAATGTCCTGGTGCTTTTATGGCTTTGCTGCTTTTGGATCAAATTACATTTTTCAGTGTCCAAAAGAGCCTGAGAACCCTCCATTCCTTGTGCCCTGCCGCTGGTTGGACATTTTCCTATGGGCAACCGGGCTCCCAAGTAGCAGAGCCTTCCCAATACATCCTGGTCTTATGTTTCCCATAGTGGTGTCGTCTTGCCCATTTCTTGCAAGATTTTAGAAATGCTTCCTAATGCTTTGTCATCTTCCAAATGACAATTTCCTTTTTTTTCCTCCTCCTTTAGTTATCTGGTTTTATCTTGTTTCCCTTTCGTGTCCATTTTTCTCAGTCCACAGCATCACAGATATATATGCATTTTTTCCTTGGTTAAGCCCTTTTCTTTTTCCTAAGTGAAACTTAGTTTTCTTTTCTATATTTTCTGTTTTCTATCTGTTTTCTATCTATATGCATTTTTTTCCTTGGTTAAGCCCTTTTCTTTTTCCTAAGTGAAACTTTTTTTAGTTAGAGAAATATTGAACAATGCAAAACAAAACAAAATAAATAAATAAATTTTAAAAACCACCGATTTTCACAGGCACTCACCTTTATAGGGTATTACAACCCTCACTGTTGGAAATGAAGGAGGAAAATGCATACTGATTTGTACAGCATGGCCCCAGCTTATAATAAAATAAATTCTGCAACATTCAAGAAAATTATTTCTAGGAATGTTTGCTTGTTACCAATTTTATCCAGTGCAAGGTTAGTCTTTTTTAGACCAGGCCATGCTAAATAAGCAACCAGAAAACCTGTCAGAGTTACATGGGACAGTCTTCTAAAGCCAGTGTTTACTATCTAGCATCAAATGCTGTGTAGTGCAAAAAAAGTAAAACTTTGACATCAGCTAAATATGTATGAAGCAGCAAGCTATCTTTCTTGGTATAAATTCAGTAACTTCAAAATCATGAGGATAATCTCAATTAGCATGCAAATTATGAAACCCAAACAGGGGAAAAATCTATTCCTTCATTTATTCTTGGAAAATGTAATTTGGTCTTCTGTAACTGGGGTTTTCCAAGAGAAATTTCTCAAAATGATTAATATCTCTGACAGAAAATTATATCAGTATTATGTGTAGACCACAAAGGATGCTTGGAGTAATGTGATTCTGCTCAAAATCATTTTCTTGCGTACAGGAGAAGGGTAGATTATGCCATCTAGTTAAGCTATTTAATATTTAAATGTGAAGTAGTATATTAAATTTCTACATGCTGCATAAAATCGAATGAATTCATATCTGCCATTTTTTAAACACTCAAGGCAGTGATTTAAATGAAAAAGTGACATTTTGAAATGGGGTGAAATTTTAAAGTCCTGTTAAAAGAAAATTCTCTATTCTTAAAATTATGTTTCGCCCTGAAAACTTTGCAATATCGCCATGAAGCTGGAAGGACATTGCTTGTTCCCTGTGTACTTTATTTTTTTTCAAGGACACACTTTGCTAATCCTAAAGCTTCAATACCAATGTAAAGAATGAGAGCAAACTGCTAAAATGCCACTTGATTGAATGAAATGACTTGAAATGGCTCATAGACCCATCTCATGGAGTTTCTTCCAATTCCATGCAGATGAGCAGGACATTAAGACTTTTTTATTTATTTTTTCCTTAAATGAAGAAGAGGATTATTGCATCTGACTTGAGGTTGAAAGCCACGTGCCTGTGGGATTCTCTCTATTTTACCTGAGTTAATTAGCTACAGTACACATTTGTCAAAGAGCAGGTAGATACCCTTTGCCAAGAGTTTAACAACATTAACAAATTAGGAGATAATAGGGTTACATCGCTTTCTTCCAGGTTATTGTTCTTGCTTAATATTTAATTATAGAACTGTAAGGTCCAAAGAGGATGCACATTGCATAATTATTTCTCCCTTACATAAGCAACTGAAAAGAAAAACAAGGGAAGGTAGCTTTCTTTTCAGCACTGCTGTTCCACTTAAAGCAGGAAAAGCCTGGACAGCTGATGTGTTACATTCTTAAAGTCACTGAACAGTAGGAAAAAAAATCTTTTCAGCATCTTTTGTGATGCACGTATCTCATTTCACTACATCCAGTAGCAGATGTGCAAATGAATATTGCATCAAAACCTTAACAGTTCTTTAATTTTTAAGTTTTTCTGCATTCTTTCTTTACATGTTTTTTTTTCCAATTAAGTATTCTAGATGAGGCAGCAGCTACTGGGTACTGCAGCAATTACTTAGGATACTGGGTATTTGATGTGGATTTTGGTGATAATTACACGCTTCATCATAGAATTTCAGAGAGGCGTGCTTCACTAATTGATGAAATTTGAGGCACAACTGGGCTGTCTGGATTCCTTGGGCAGCACTGAGAGTTGCAGCAAGGCCTTGGTACCATGCTGAACCATGCTTTTCATTTCACTATTCATCTGCAGCCAGTAGTGATGCTTTTGCAAGGCTGTGCTGCACAGAGCAGAACTCAGCATGAGCAAGATGAGGATCATGCCTACAGAAATATTTAGACTGAATATAAGCAAGAAGTTTTTTACAATGAGCGTGGTGAGGCAGTGGCTAGAACCAGCTGCCCAGAGAGGTGGTGGATAGACGGTCTGTCCCTGGGAACGCTCAAGGTTGGGCTGTACATGGCTTACTGAGCTGTACACGTCCCTGCTCGTTGCAGGGTGATTGGACCAGATGGCCTTTAAAGGTCACTTCCAACGATTCTATGATTCAACGATTAGTGGTTCTTGATAAATGAAGATTCCTGACGTGGACAAATATGGTAAATGCCCTCCAAGAGAAATCGTGAAAACAACCCTGAAATACACAGGAGTAGGTTAGCAAGTGCTTTGTAGTAGCTTCATATATGACCAAAGAATCATAGAATCACCAAGGTGGAAAAGACCTATAAGATCATCCAGTCCAACTGTCCACCTGTCACCAAAATTTTCCTCTAAACCACGTCCTTCAGTACAACATCAAAATTTCTTGAACACCTCCAGGGATGGTGACTACACCACCTTCTTTGGCAACCTGTGCCAGTGCATCACCACTCTCTCAGAGAAGTATTTCCTAAGGTCCAACCTGAATCTACCCTGATGCAACTTGAAGCCATTCCCTCTCGTCCTACTGCTGTTTCGTGAGAGAAGAGAATGACCTCACCTCACCACAACCTCCTTTAGGTAGCTGTAGAAAGCAATATGGTATATCTGGAGATCATCTAGTCCTACCTCCCTGCCTAAGAAAGGTTCCCAAATTTGGCAATGAAAAACAGTTCAAGGGCATGACAAGGACAAGTATCAGACTACAGGAGGTGCAGTCCATTTTTGAATAATGGGCACTTAATAAAACAGAAAAAAAGATTTTCCTGAACAGAATTACCAGTTAAATTTTCTACAAAAGAGCTTGGGTTTTGAGAACAGAGAATTTGGATTGATATCTCAAGTTTATTTTTAAACCAAAAATTAGAAAGCTGGAGGTCAGGACTGGATGGCAAGAGGCAGTTTCAGTATTAAATACAAAAAAGAAGGAGCAGTTCTTGGAAGAAATATGTATGGATACACTTCGTAACTCTTGATGCTTTTCAGCAGAAAAGAAAAAAAACACATCTCACAGAAATCTGTGTTGCAGAAGATAATTTTATTCAATTCATAAATCCTTATACCAAAGATTTTTCCTTTCCCAATTATCCAGATATTCATTTCAAAGCAGACAATAAAATATGTGGTAAATGCTTCAACTGATCTTATTGCACTGTCCATGTGACAAAATGACATACATAAAATCCTATATCAGGTTTTTTATTGATGTAAAAACAATGATACCTCAAAGCATTATGCATGTCAGAAGCGAGAGTCTAAAATCAAAAGCCATAAAATGTGTTATTGGAGGCTGTGTTTGTCATAAATGGCAGCTGTGCTCCCATCCCATAATGGTACTGCTAAAGCAAAATGAGATAAGAAATCGTTTGTCTTCAGCTTATTTTCTTAATTATATGAAAGCAAGTCATTTATTTCTTGTTTTATATAAATGGCTTTTAACATTCGATACTTATAAAACATCATTTTGGCCTAAAGCTCACCGTAGATTATTGAAATGAATCTATAGACTTATATGACTGTTAGAGTGGATTATTTGCTTTTAATTAAAAAGCATGAGTGTTGCAATTATCAGAGGACATTGTAAAGATGTGCAATACATTATCATCTAGTTACCATTTCTCTGAAGCAGTTACATAACATAAAAACAGTAACATAAAGTAAAAAACCAGTAAAGCAAAGACCTATAATTCTAAATTACGCATTCCTACTAACAGGCATGAGTGGAGATAAAAAGCACTGCTTTAATAATAATAAAGAAAAGATGTATAGAATAAGAGAATGAGCAAGAAATTTTTGTTAGATCAGTTTGAGAACAGTTAAGGAAAATCAGCTTTTCAGACTCTGAGTCTGAAAACTTCTCCAAATGTAGACTAAAATCCCTTCTGCTTTGTGCTATGAGAATAAGCTCTGAAACACATTCAAGGTTCTATTTTCCAGCACTACTCTAACATCTGAAAGTGTAAACATTCCTTAAATGCTCTCGCATTCTATTTTTTTTTTTTTTCCATTCAAATTTTATTTAATGCGAGGCAACTGACACACCTTCCAACCCTTCGACTAGCTTTGTTGCCCTCCTTTGGATGCTTTCAGGGATATTCTCAACCTTTTTATGTTGTGGATTCCAAAATGCATACAGTATTCAAGGTGAGACTGCACCAGCATTAGGTATGGTGAGAGAATCCCCTGTTTTGACTGGAATCGCCTCTTTTGGCTGGCATTATCAATCCAGAGAAATAACCAACTCCTTCCTCAGAGAGGTCAAGAGTAAAACTTCACTGAGCTCACTGTAGAGCTTAGCTTAGTACAGAGTGTCAAGTTGAAAGCAAGGAATCCCACTACATGTATACTGAATATGGTGTATATTCTATATGTGATGTATATACGGTGTATATACTGCATGTAGATTGTAGATGGTGCAGGCATCATACTGCATTGATGTGGTTTGCTGAAGGGTCTTGTTACTGACAGCTCTTTACTTGCTTTACTGTTCCACTTTTCAGCCTTTCTGACCTGGCTTTGACTCTTTTATGGACCCACTCTTTTTCATTCCTGGAGCAGAATACGGTCATAAAAACACTGAGAGCTGGATGGGAACTGCATTAACAACAGTGACAGTTATTGCATGGCTATCTCCACAAATGTCTTCTTTGATGTTTACTAACAAAAAACTCACTTAAACTGAGTTTGTGTTGGCATTTCTAATGGGTCGAAGCAGCAGCATATTGAAGAGGCCAGCCTTGTTCTCAGATGCCATCTGAGCAGCTCTTAAGATGTGCACACCTGTAAGATCAAAGATGCATTTTTGCTTGTTAAGAAATCTATCCAAAACCCATCTATGGACTGATACAGCTTTAAAACAGCACCAAAGATGTTCTAAATTGTGGTAATTTGGAGGAACCAGTCGAAATTGCTTCTGGCTCTAAGGATGAACACAAACTAGTATCAATCTTACTACTGTATTTTGTTATGAATTAGCCGTTTTATTATCTAATTATCTGAAGATGGCATTTTTAATGTCCCATTTTCATTCCCCTATGGCAGAGAAACTGTTTGAATGTCTGTACTAGAAAGATGCATAAATTTATCCTGCAATGAATACAGAAGAATAGGAGATGGAGGATAGGAGTTGACCTACAGATCTGGGTAAGTTAGAACAGATGTTGTAGTTTTGATGAAATGCTTCATTTGGAAATCATAGTGAAGAATCTTCAGACACAGCTTTTTAAAATGATAGTTAAATCCCTAAAAATCTGTTTTAGAAAAAAATGACGTGATAGTTACCACGTACATTTTCCAGCTATTGAACTAGAATACCTGTATTGCCATTTGGGAGAACTCTATACAAAAATGGCCAGCAGAGTTTTATCATGGCGCTCAGCATTTCCTTCTCTTTTAAGCAATCAGCAGATCAGTCAAAAATCTCACTTTTCATTCCAGTTAGTCTGCTCTGCAATAATTTTTAGCAATCAGATTTTACCATCTGTGGAACTGTCAAAACAAAGAAGATGTAAATTTACTTCTGCATCTTAAATTACCAAATAGCTTTCCCAGTGCTCTTGCCATGTTTTTACCCTCTGGGGATTTGTTTGTTTTGTTTTGTTTTTTCAAAATTTTTGATTGATCAACTGAATAATTGCAGATAATTTAACCTATTTGTCATGTATGCATGAGTGCATAGATTAGATCTGGCTGTTCCAGTAAAGCTCAAAAACATTGAGATAATAAAAAAGTGTCTGGATTTATAGTTCTCTACAAAACAATTTTTAGATTGGCCTGATTCTTGAATTTTGAAAGGCTCTTTGGTGCTATTTCCTTCTTCTCCACTGAGTTTTCTGATGAGCCTAACAGCAGTGACACTGATCCTGTGCATCTCAGGACTTGTATTTTACAGCAGCCTCCAGGACCGGCCCTGCATTAAAGGGCTAAAATGGTGTTTGACCATCATTCATCCTGCTCAGCCAAACTGCAGGGACGTTGTCTAGTTTTAAGAAATGTAATTTCTTTCATCAGAATTTTTCACTATAAAAAGAAGTGGATTTATTAAGTGCTCATTACCTGCAGTTCTGAGTTGAATATCTTGTGTTACGTTGCTCTTTATGTGGTATTGAAATGGCCTTGGGCATGATTGTAAGGCAGTAATCCTAGTGAGCACCTCATAAAGATGAGAAGCTCATCTCATCTGGGAATTGCTGAGAACAAAAAATGATAGATAAATTATTTTTAATGGCACCAGGAAATGCTATTTGCTAACAATAGAACTATAATCCCTCTCTTCTGACTTCTTTCTGTGCTTGCTCCATAACGTGCTTGGCAATAACCTTGGGCTGGAACAGACTTCTCAGTGCAAATATGATAGTGCCAATGGAAGTGACTGGTGCATTTGCAGTTCCTTTCAGGAAAGAGTATGCTTTGTTTGTTTGAGCTGCATATTGGGATTATTTGTTGAAAGTCTTAAAACTTTCTAGAGAGACATTCTCCACCTAGAGCAATAAAAGAACAACTGTTAAATTTAATTTCTACTAGAAGAGTGTCTCGCTCCAATTTATAGGAGGGAGATGAGGTTCTTTAATATCTGTATACCCGGTGTGAGATTAAGAAACAACGGTTCATATGTTGTTCCATCCAGTTTATTACTAAGACCTAATCAGGGAGACGGGGAAGGGAAGGAGTGCGATAGAAAAGATGGAAAAGAAGCAGGAGTTGCGTAAAGCGGGGATAGTCACCAGCAGGATCCAGCAGCGGTCCCGTTGCACGGTGTTTGAAGGTCCCGGGCAGAATGCAGCAGAAGACGGGGAGCAGCAGCGTGGCCGGCACTGGGCAGCAGGCAGGTAGACGAGGAAGTCGAGGAGCCAATTCTTGAAGCAGCAACAGCGGTCAGGCAGCAGGCTCAGGAGAGTTCAACAGTATGCAGGAATCACTTCAATCTTCAGGAATCCCTCTATCTTCAGGAATTCCTCTCTCTCTCAGTTCTTCTTCATGAGGAATCTGTTGTCAGAAACCTCCGTTCTTCTTGAGGAATCTGTTGTCAGAAACCTCCATTCTTCTTGAGGAATCTGTTGTCAGAAACCTGCCGTTCTTCCTTGGCCTTCCAAGGATATTTGTTAAGGTATCATGTTAAGATTAGGGAAACAAGCCTCAGGTTAGCCGCGCCAATCGACAATCGACACAGGCTGGTCCAGGCGATAAGTGTTTCCCCCTTGTTGTGAGCTTTCTAATACATCCACCCTTCACCGCCCCCACCCCGCTCACTTGGGAGGGGCGGAGACATCAGTTTTCTAATGGCTTGGATAACCATTCAGGCTCCCTGAGAGAGGCCCTAGGACCTGGGATTTTGCTTTCCTCAAGATTCTCGAGCTTTTGTTCTGGCCACCATTTAACTAATTTCTCTAACCTATCTGTTGTCAATCCATCCATCAAATTTCGTGGAATACCCTTTTTCCAGCCCAGAGTCCAAAGTCCATTACGTTTATGAAAGATATTCCGCCTACCGGTTTTTACTGGCAATGAGACCCTTCCAGACCCACTGAGCTTTGGGCTAGGTGGCCTGGGGGCAAGACTGGCTGCTGCAAGCCTTACACCTCTTGGCTCTGATTTACTGGGAAAAGAAACCACCGGCCCATATTTTCTTCCATAATTAATTAACTCTTGGGCTACCCCCCCCCACGTCCATACTTTGCATCCTGACTGCAGATGGTTGGGGGTTACAGTTTCTTCTAACACTGCCCGGGTTCTTTCTCCCTGTGACATAGCTTGTATTCTTGCTTGTAATTGTATGCCTATGGGTTTCAGTGATTCAGGAAGCCCTCTAATTAAAGGGGTCATTCTCTCAGGATCAACGGGCATCATCATGGGCGATTCATGACGTGGCTGCAGCTTTCTATCATACATCAATTGGAGACAAGCAGCCTTTTGAACGCTTTCTACTAATTGGTCAGTAGTTCCAGTAATGGCAAGAGGATCTCCCCTTTCTAAAGGGTTGAGACCACCTGCCCAATAGGCAGCCCTTTGCGTTAACGACCAGGGAGCACGATTGTTGCCAGTAGTTAAAAATACTCCTGGTCCCCAATAACCTTCTGCTTCCTTTTCTGTTAACCGAATCTGGTCGCCACCAGTGAGACTCACCCTCCATACATATTCTGTCTCTGATTCCTTTGGAGAGCGGCTAAAGTCCTTTTTGAGTTTTGCTAGTTCGGTGGCCGAGAACGGAATTTCCTTAACATTCATTTGAGGATCTAGATCCTCACTGTTATCGAAGGTATATTCTGTTTTTATCAAGGGACGCAATGGGGCTATTGGGGTTTCTAATTTGTCTAGTCTTTCCTTTATTTCTTGTAGTTCCTCCTGAGGAAAAGTTTTTTCTTGAGGCAACCTATGGGTGACAGTATCGCTAGTATCTTTACTTGTTAACAGTTCCTTGAAAGCCATCTGCAACAAGGCCGAATTATGTTTCTCTCTTTCTAGTTGTTCCTCGAGATTAACTATTTGATACTGCAGAGTTTTTACCAATTCTTGTGTAACTCTAACCGATTCCTGTAGTGCTTCTATGGTTTGGAGTTCTGCCGAATGCTTTTCATTTCGGAACTCCACGGCAGCTTTTAAAGCAGCCCCGAGAACAGCACAAATAAACGACTTTCCTTTTCCAGCTCGTGAACGAGCCTCATTCTGTAAGACACTAATGCGGTCCGAAACGCTCTGCAAATTATGCCAATTTTGGCGTGCCCAGTCCACCCCTGACAAAGAGGGACGAGCACCATGCTTTTCTAAAAGGTCAAATAACACATCTTCACTTTTCATACTGGCAATACTGTCACTCATTTCCTAATACAATGAAAGATCTACACTAAGGGAGGAGGAGGTACACTTTTTCAAAAGCTCAGTTACTCCTTACCGCTCCTCCCAGGGAGATACACCACAACTAAACAAATGCAAATGCTCCAATCACTCCTCCCTTTCTTTGGAGGAGCACAAAAAATGTGAAGCTAAAGCAACACTTTCTAGGCTTCAAGAGTAAATAAAACTTCTTGGAGAGGCACACACGTTTAAGTCACAAAATATCACTTCCTCACTTCCCCAAGAGGCGCAAGCACGCAGACACACCAAATTTCGCACTTCAGTTACCAAATAGCAAGAGAGGTCTTCCCGAGGAGGCACACACGTATTAATCAAAATGCAAATAGTCAAAATACGTCCCCGAGAGGTACACACATAAAAGGTAAAGTTTCAGAATATGGAGCGGTCTTCCTGGAGAAGGACTCACATCTAAATTTTCAAAACTATCGCTCCTTGCAACTCCAGGAGGTGCACACAAAAAAAAAGTTTCAAACTATATCTGGAAGGACAACACTCTCACAGCGGGTATCCTGCCGACTACGCCATTAAAAAAATGTCTCGCTCCAATTTATAGGAGGGAGATGAGGTTCTTTAATATCTGTATACCCGGTGTGAGATTAAGAGACAACGGTTCATATGTTGTTCCATCCAGTTTATTACTAAGACCTAATCAGGGAGACGGGGAAGGGAAGGAGTGCGATAGAAAAGATGGAAAAGAAGCAGGAGTTGCGTAAAGCGGGGATAGTCACCAGCAGGATCCAGCAGTGGTCCCGTTGCACGGTGTTTGAAGGTCCCGGGCAGAACGCAGCAGAAGACGGGGAGCAGCAGCGTGGCCGGCACTGGGCAGCAGGCAGGTAGACGAGGAAGGCGAAGTCGAAGGAAGTCGAGGAGCCAATTCTTGAAGCAGCAACAGTGGTCAGGCAGCAGGCTCAGGAGAGTTCAACAGTATGCAGGAATCCCTCTATCTTCAAGAATTCCTCTCTCTCTCCACTTCTTCTTCATGAGGAATCTGTTGTCAGAAACCTCCATTCTTCTTGAGGAATCTGTTGTCAGAAACCTATCCTCGTGGTTTTCAGTTCCTCTTTTATCCTCCTTGTTCTCCTGCCTACGTGACAAGGATGGGCTTCGAGCAAGAGTCATTGAGTACCCCCTGAGATGGCCATCATCCGGAGATAGGTCCACACAAAGGAGCACTTCACAGCTATTTAGCTGCAGCTCATCTCGCTCTAGTTGCCCCTGGCCTTGTCCATCTGCATTCCCCCAGACAAAGGATTTCACAAGCCTTGCTCGGGACTTGTCTGGACTTGAACAAGTCCATCTGTGTCCCCAGCAAGCTTTGAGACACAGAAGTTAACAGAATAATAACTTACAGAGTAGTATCTTACAAAGAGTAAGTTACCTTTTACTTTACTAAATCAGTAAAAATGGATGCTAAATATCTGATGAAAGATCCATCTGGATACGAGGGAAATTTTTTTAATCACTTCACTTCCAAAAATCTGAGGTATTTTACATTTGTGGAGAGATGTTATGAGTTTGTTATTATAGTTGTTTGGTTGCATTTTTTTAATCCATTGGGTGTGTCAGGTGTTACATTTAAATATATTGCAGCAATATAACTTTCCTTTATTGCTATGTAATACATAGCAGAAAAATAAATGCAGACTGAGTTTTTTAATGGAGGTTTAGATACCAGGTGTCACATAAAGAACAAACTGTGTTTGACAGTAAAATCAGAAGTTACCTCAGCAGCCACGGGACACATTCTGCTCTCCCACAACTCGTATGTGTCAAAGACTGCATTACTGAAAGCATAATATTGCTCCTGCACTAAGTGCGTGTTCCTTCCAAGGCTTTCAAGACCAAGGCTCCAGGTGTGATTTAAAACCACGTCCATTAAGAAGCATGGAACTGGATTTTTCTTCTTGTATTTAGTGCTACTGAACTCCTTGCCATCAGGTATTAAGAGAGTGTCCAAGATATGAAATGCTACAAATATGACAGATGTCTGTGTGAGCCACAGAGATATTTCATACAGAATAGTGAAGGCGAAGATGAATTTGAGACTAATGGATCCAAATAGCTGGTCAAGACAGGGCAGCGAAGAGGAGGACGTGAAACAAAAAGATTTAAGACTTAATGAGACCAGTAAAACCAACAGGCTTTATACCACTGAAGAGCAATAGTTACTAATTCACTTTCAGATTTCTACCGAGTTAACAACTATGTTGATCTGTAACCCTGTCTAGCTGGAAACAATGGAAAAAAATAAATTGGCAACAAATACAAGGTCTGACAGAAAAAAAGGCAAAATTTGAAAGAGAGCCTATGTTTACAATAGTTGCGGCTGCTTTGGTAGATGAAAGGAGAAGAGTACTGCAAGATACTGGAAGGAGAAAAAGAAAGATTAAAGCATTATGGATTAGTGAGATAAACTAAACTAAAATTTAAAAAGTAGAACAAAGTTAGTTATAAATAGAAAATTTTAAAAGCTTTTCATTTTCGTATTTGGAGAATGAGATACAGAAAACAGGAAGAAAAATCAGCTTTTCACGAGGAGTTGAAAGAAAGAAAGAAAAGGAAGAAAGTAGAAAAAGAAAGTGCATGTCCTGCAAGAAAGTAAGTTCTTTAGACAAAGAAGAGCAAACTAAATGTATTTTCTTTAAATGATCATTGTAAAAGCTGCTGGTTGGATTCAGAAGTATATTAATTTCAATATGAAAGAGTTAATAAGTTTTGAATTTCCTTCAAATGTCTTAGTAATCAAAGATCATTTGACTATATATCTTATAGTAATTAATATGAAATGAGAGCAATTAATGATCCTTCATTAATGTATCCATTACATCAATCAATCAGCTTCTGTTTTTGTCAGAAGCTATTTAGTATGCTTCAAGAAAGAGGGTTATTTTGGTTGTAACCTTCATAAGAATTCCAACTGGAAAAGGTGTGGAGATAGGAATCACAGCTAATTAAGTCTTTTGAAGTCCCAGACTTCTACAGGTGAGTATTAATAAAATTCTTTGCTAATTTCTAAGGTACAAAGGCAGACAGGTAGCCAGTTATCAACAAATCTGTGGGTGTTCAACTCCAACTAGTGCTGTATAGATTTTTACTTCCATTGCTGAATAAAGTGACCCCATTTTAAAAATAAAAAATAAAATAACCCCCCCAATTTTTAACTGACCTATTGCTTTTTTTTTTTTTTTTTTTTAAACACTGTTTGTTACACTCTGCCTGTTCACAACAAAGAAAGCAAGTGCAAGGGAGGACATGCCAATCTGCTAAGTAATCTTTACTAAGTCATTCATAATTCTCATGTTTTTCCAGCAGCTTCCCATGTCGAACCTGCCTCAATGGCTGATGTGACACCTGGCTACTGTTGGAAGCTTTATATGTGAAGAGCTGTTTGTCTATGAAAAAAGGATTGCTGATTAGGAGAAAGCATCCCTTTTTATTGATCTGAGATTACTGTCACCTGTTAAAGTAGACAAATTAAAAAACATTAAAGATTTGGGATTGCTGGCAGTTGTCCTCTGCGATTTAGCATGGACAGGGCTACTATTCGAAACAGGTATGTTGGCAGTCAACTACATGCAATTGCAGTTCCTTTTAATGTAAAAAGCGCCATTTACCATGTATGGCAGTCCTTCCCAAACAGAATAGTTGACCTTTCTTTGATTTATCTTTTTCTTTGATTTGATTTTCTGATTAGTAAATCCTCCAGCAAATATCCTAATGAAATCCCTGCTCATTTTTCATTCCGGATTTGTCCACAGAGGTGCTCCAGCAGGTAATGGAGGATGGAAAGAATACTGTTGAGCAACGAGAAGCAAGTGAGATTAAGACTGAAAATACTGATTCTACAAGAACTGCTTGTTCATGGGAATACTGCTGCTACTTGCCAGAAAACCTGTGAGTAAAAGCAAGCTTGCACTTGGTGTCTTATTTGAAATCAACAGGTGATTACCTTATTTGAAACTATTGGCTTACAGACTTATCAATCTAAGTGTCAGAAGGCATTATGAGACCCTCAGAAATATGTCTTAGATTTCCAGAGGTCTGAGATACTTCCACTGAAACAGCAGTTTAATAGGGAAATCATGAATTCTGTAAGGCCTGTTATATAAGGTTTCATGATGAATTCTCCTTCATTCTGCCTGTTTCTATAAACTTTAGTAAGTAATAGAATATATCCTAATACCAGATTTACAAGGGGAAAAGAGGCCAAGTGCACTAACACAGCTAACGCACTTCAGAGTTCATCTCAACTCCATGCTCTGTGACCATCTGCAATATCTTTACTGCTTTGAAGCTGCTGCTGTGTTTATTCCTAAAGTTGCCTGTTTTGGCATTTTAGGACTGTTCAAAATTGTTAAGAAACTATTAGTTTAAAACTTATTTATTTATATATTTTCTACTGGCAAGGTAAGTGGAAAGTATGTGCTTGATTTTTTTTTTTAATTGATTTGTTTTTCCCCCCTTTTTGTGACTATTTTTAATAACAGAATTTTTAATAGCATGACTTGCAATATGAAAGTGTTTCGTACTGGAATGATACATTTCAACCCTCAAAATTCTAGTCAATTTCAGGATGTCAGATTTAATGATGTGAAGATGAGTTGCTTTATTGGGAAAAAAAGAGGCTAGATCTCTGTTGCTCCATTCCATGAACAACATAATCAGAATCATTCTGATTAAAGAGCAGCTTTGAGAGAGATTTTTTTGATGCTTAGAAAAAAAAATAAATAAAATATGGGACATCTGACACCGCTCTGTTGAAAATGTTCAGGTGATTTCACTACTTTTCATTGGCTCAGCTAGACAATAGAAAATTATACCTTAATTTCATTTTATCCAGAAAGAAGAAAAATAATGAAAAGGTGAAGCAATTTCTCTGAATTCACAGTAAATCAGCAGGTAAGAAATGAGAGCAATTCTACTTTTTATCGCTTAATAATGGAAGGTAATCACCTGGACTAGAATGGTGTGTTCTGTTTGGTCTTACAGTCTATTTGGCATTGTATCCTTGAATCAACCCTAAAAATGAATCCATAATGCTCCATAACTGACATTTTTCTATGGCTTGTAAAGTCTCTTTTATTCACAGTTGTTAAAAAATTCTTGTTGGTAAGAATTATTCGTTCAGTTTAGTTGAATGAAACCCATGGAGATACAGGCAAGACATTTCTACAGAACTACTGTTTAAATCATGGCCCATACAGCCACCTCTCAGCTGTAAATTGCTGGGCAATGACACATTGTGTGTATAATCAGAATTCCTAGAAATCAGGTTAATCTGCAACAGAAGAAATAGGAATGCAGAGTTCAAGCATATGACCATAAGTATTGAAACAAAGCATCCCAGCTGCTGATGGTGCCTACTTGTGTGCAGTGTGAAGTACTTATGTTTACATGGATATTTAATATTTATGCCAATAATTGCAAACCGTGTAATGTAAGTCATGATTGTATTTGATTCCTGAGATCGAAGTTGTAGTGTTGTAAGCTTATTCCTGAAATACGGTACTGAACTAGAAGCGCTGCCTTCTAAACCTAGCCATAAATAAGCAAACAAAGCAACTGAAAAGCTATCCTCTGTGTTTCCCTTTTGTTGCATTAAAAAACAAAAACCCAAAAGAAACAAAAACTTTTCTACACAAAACCACTGGTTTGTCCTAGAAAATAAGTTAATATTTTGTAGTTCACTCATTTGTCACTAATTAAACAAATAATAACTCTGGTCATTCTTCAGATAACAGCAATCTTCTTTGCACTTTTCTGGGATGTTCCACACATGATGAGATTCTTTTTTTAAAAAACAAAACAAAACAAAACAAAACGCGGCTTTTCAGTCTTGGGACAAACTCAGTGATTTGATCAGCAGGTGGATTCTAGCATGTTCAGTTCACAGCACTTTCTTGAGATGCGCAGAGCGAACGCAAACTCGCAAATCCCTAAATCCAGACAACCATGTGATATAATTCTTTTTATAAACAACTCTATCAGTCTCTTTGTACTTTACAGCGGTGTTTTATTTTTCCTCCAACAGTAAGCCCATTAAAGTGTCTTTCTGCTTTGATAGGTGTTTTTATTTTTATTAATTTCCAGTTTAAAAAAAAATGAGAATTTTAACTTGTTAAATCACGAGCCCGTTATTTTTCTTTTTAATGTTAACTGGTGTTTGCATTTATTTTACTTTTTTTAATGTTGATGTCAGCTGTTTCTACAGGCCATAATAGCATCTTCTTTGATACCTTCCTGTTTTCCTAAGTTAAACCTGTGGGAGAGCGGAGAGAGGTCCTTCTGTCTTCCACTTTCAGATGAGTTTTCATTCCTCAAATCATTTTAATATCTCTGTTATATCCCTTGTAAACTGACCTTTAAACAGCCTGAGTTGCAGAGGCAACATATCACCCATGTTCTCTGTCATTTTATCTCCTAAAAGGTGACATTTTCATGGCTGATGAAGTTGAGGCTCAGTGTCACCCTATAATCCGCTAATACGGCAGGCCTTCCTCGAGCTAGTGTTCATAGATCTTTATCACTTTGTCATTTCTAACTGATAAAGTCTCATTTTGCAGCAGAAGCATGTACTGTTGATCACCATCTGCCTGACTCCTACTTTACTCCCCAAATCTGTAATCTCATTCCTCAAGGCTGTGTAATTTTTACACGGTCAGTTTATCACAGAGATTGTTATCAGTACTGACACTGCCTCCCACCTTTGTGTCATCAGCAAATCGCAGATGTACTCTTATTTTGTGCTGTTAGAGTAAATACAGATTAATAAAATTATAATACGCGTTATAACTAGGTCATCGTGAGAACAATCTTTGGCAAACTCAGTTTCAACCATTCCTCTCATCTGGTACTTTCCCTTTGATGGCTCATCTTTTGCTATTCTTGATATTCCTTTTATTTTTTAACTAATTTCCATGTTCTCCAGCATGTTATTTTAAACCATCATATAGGTTCACATAAAATGCTCCATGAAATACAGATGCAGACGAGTTACTGCATTTCCTTCAATTAACGTAACAAAAACAGATTTAAGTTCATTTGACTGTACCTCTTTCCATCCAGTTCTTTTGCCTTTTCTTCTATTTGCCATTTACCTTCATGTTTTTAATTATTCTTTCAGACTAAGGGATCAAAGTCAGATTAATAGACCGAGGACAAACACAACTGCAGGGATCGGCCTCTTCTCCCAGGTAACTAGAGAACAAGAAGTAATGGCTTAAGGCTTAGCCAGGGGAGGTTCAGGTTGGATACTGAGAAACATTTCTTCTCAGAAAGGATGGCGAAGCATTGAAACAGGCTGCCCAGGGAGGTGGTGGAGTCACTGTCCCTGCAGGTGTTCAAGAAAAGTGTAATGTCACACTGAGTGACATGATTTAGTAATGTGATGGTGGTGGGTTGATGGTTGGACTAGATGATCTGACTTGAGCCTTAATGATTCTACGATTCCTTACTCATCCTTCTTCCTAAATGCAGATACTGTGTTTGCTGTTTTTGACTTCTACAGTGTCACTCACGTTGTAGTTCTTTTATTGTAGAAGCACAATAGCACACCCATAGTTTCCTCAGTCTTCTAGTCCTGCCAAAGGATAGAAACAGGAATACTGTAATCAGTCTGCAGAAGTCACTCTGATCCAGGTTCCTCTTTTCATATTTACCGTTCATCTGCTTTGCAATAACTAATGATTACAGTCTCAGTGAAGAGAGGATTTCAGTACAAACCCGAAGGCGAATCCAATGAACTCATGTGACTCAGGTGTGTATAGGGTGAAGGAGGCTTAAGTGCTTTTCTGGACGAGAGCCTAAAGAACCCGTAGTTATCATTCTGTGTCACTGCTATCAATACCACTTTCTCCCTGTGCCCTGAATGCGTCTCACAAGTGCTCCTGGGAGCTCAGTGAACACATGAGATCAGGTATTTCTTTCCCCTCCTGGTCTTCAGCTTCCCTGAGCAGCCTAGGGAGATAGTGACAGCCTGCACCCACGCAGTGAAACAGGAAAAGAAAATAATGCTGTATTCAGATCCAGATCTTCAGCAGTAGTAAACTGTGCTTAGATTAGATTTTAGAGGTGTGCTTTTGTGCTGCATTGTGTGAATACATGACTGACAGCCATACTGACAAGGTAGAAGGTGGTGCAGGCTGAGAGTTCCGTGGATTGACTATAGAAGTAATTTAACCATACGCACAACTGACTGTGTTTAAGGTGTAGTGAGAACACCGGTTTGCATACTTCATTACCGACCTGGCTGATGTAAAGGGAAACTGCTCATAATCTGATGCATTAAAATAAGAAAAACATTTTTACAGAATAGTTCATTCATTGAATATTCAACACTTCCTTTATGCATTCACTGAAAGATGCTCCACTGTTTTCTTCATGATTTATTTATTTGAATCTAGTCTGATTAAGCACTGTAAGATTTATTTCTTCAATATTACATTCCTCATAGAATTTTAATTGTACAACGGTGGAAAAAGAGCCGGAGGAGAATAAAAACATATTGATTTAATTCAATTTTTATACTCACTGCAAGTTATTTTACCTTTGAGGGTAAGTGTGCTTGGCGATAGTGAGGGGAATACACACTATAAATTCTCCTTGATCGATCAGTAATAGAAATAAATTATATCTCATTTACAAATTTACAATTAAGCAAGGAAAGAGAATGGCCATATTTGTTTGACAGTAGGTGCCATGGGGCAAATATAAAAGGGAGTAACGACAGAGGAGCAAAAAAATAATTTTAGTCGAAGAATATTCTCCATTATCTCTAGAAAATATGGCACTTTTGGCACGTTTTGGATCCAGTTTCTTGTAAATTGAGCTTTGAAATCAATACTTATTACCAAGAGAGGACTTTCCTATGAGTGCTTGTACTTTCCTATGGGTAGTTGTAACAAGATTCAGAAATCAGAGAGTTTGCCGACTATGAGGTATATACAGTAATAATTTTTAATAGAAAAATATTTAATGGTTCAATCGGAATTTGCATGAAACCCATCCATACTGGATTAGTTGCTACTCTAATGCGTAGTATATCATACAGAGCAGATCATTAAAGCAAAACATTTTGGAATGATTTCCAGAGATGTGAAAATCTTACGTGCTCTTCCCTTCCTTCTACCTGCCCACTTCCGTGCCTTTTTTTCTGGCTGCATTAAATTTATTAGGTGTATACTTGGTATTTGTATTACTGAATTATTTAGAGTCCTTAGGCATTGCCAGGACCAGGAGCTGCACGGTGTTATGCAGAGCAGATTAAAAATTCGCAGTGCAAAAAAGGGAAAAGCCGTACTATTGATCAGCTTTCCCAGCTGAAGGCTTCTCTTCTCTCAGCATGGGAGAATTTCAAAGAGGAACCTGACAGATGTTTGTCCTGCTGGGCTGAGCTGCGATGCTGGAGATTTCAAGAAGATGCTCCACGGCAATTGAGCGACCTTCTCATTGCAAGGCAATGCTGGGGAAAGCATCCTCCCGAGGTAGGTAGAAAGTGTAAAAAGAAGTCTGGAAATGAGGCTTATATCTGAAGTAATGGGTACAAGGTTCTGGGAGGGTCATGCCAGGAGAGAGTTGGCACACTAAAACTGTCGAGATAGGAAACATTCTGTCCAGGAGGATAACAGAGAATAGAAGTGGTTTCATTCTCATTTTGATCTATATAATGCCTTGATTCTGGGAAAATACATGGCGCAACTTTTCAAAACTGTGAATTCCACAGTTTTATTTTGCTGTTTCCTGTCTGCTGCTTCTTCAACTCTAATGCCTGTTAAATTAAAATATATATATATATATATAAAGAGGCTATGAGGGTGCAGGTCTGCTAAAGAGTCTGAGAGTAATCAGTACCATGGATTTGAGTTTCAGGCATGCCAAATAGCTCTGATTCTACATGACATTATCAGCACCAGTAAACAGTCAGTATTACACATGGAGCTCTTTAAGTGCTCACGGATTTTTCTTGATCAGTATCTGAGGGGAAAAAGACGGTTTGAATCGCAAAGTTTCAAACTTCAACCCACATTTATTGTTTCACAATTTCCAGACTCCTCATTGGTGTTATAGACACAATAATCAAGATGTAGCCTATCCTTGGGAGCACCATGTGCTCCAGCACATCAGTCGTGGGCTGATGGAGCTTTATCACTGCTTTCACAGCTGTCGTGTTCCCATACATAATTAACAAGCAAACACTTCATACCGTGTTGTCAGTGGATAATGTTATTATATCGTCCATCACGCACTGAAATCAAAATGGGCCAAGACTAATTTTTACTAGCATCTTAGGAGATTTTGCAGACATCAGTAGGCTGACAGATATCTGAACGTTATTTCTAAAGAAAAGATGAAAGTGTTTCGCAACATATTGATCTGTACCTGAGGACGAATGATTAATGTATACTGTGGTCCAACTCGGATTTCTTTTGATAAAAGCCGTGAAGCAAGCTATGATCTCATATCCACTGATAGACAGATCGATAGGCATAGGTATGTATTTTTATATATAGGTGCATTTACCTTTATCGTGTGATTGAGTGGCAGATCTTGCATTATAAATCAAGCCTTGGCAAAAGTGAAGTATAAACTTGACACATTTCTGGATGTATATGATCTAGTATTTATTAGCTTTTCTTAGTGTGATTCTCTTTCCAACTTTCCTCATTTTTGACTGAGAATCATTTGATAGGTACTATTTCCTAAGTTTTTTTGTATACTGAAATACTGTCAATACCACTTGAAATGCGTTATGGAAAGAATGTCGTTCGTCCACTACTCTGCCAAAAATGGGTGCTTATTAATGAGCTCATTTTTTAAAATCTCCATTTTCTTCTGATTTAATTTGAAACAAATAAGAAGGTAAGATTGAAGTTGAAATGGGGAAAAATGGGGGCAAAACGATTAACTTTTGCAAAGCAATGAAGACTGATCTGAATATCTTAATTGAATCCTGGAGACTTCATGTTTCTGGGCAGAAAGAATAACTTCAGCGCCATTTAACACCAGAGTGCTAAGCAATGCAAGTTGCTACATTAACAATCTTTTCTGGCGTGTTGAGTGGGAATTTTGTATGTATTTCTTTATGTCTTATCTATCACAGGAACTCTTTCTCCTCTGCTCTTTTCTGGCAAGCAAACCTCAGAATGACAACAGAATAACTCTGCTTCCATTGCCACACACAGTAGGCTGTTTTTAATGCATAGATTACAATTCACATCTAATACCTAGGAAAAGAAGAATCATTCTGAGACACTTTCAGAATATGTTTGCAGTCTCATGGTCAACTCAAACTGCAAAGATATCTTTCCTTTATGGGTTTACACTTAGCAACTGAATATAGTTATAGCTGCCCAGAAGCCTTGTATGTAATTATGTCTCAATTCACACTGGTTCTGGGAAAGCATTAATGGTTATAAATATGTAATCTGAATAATTTGATTTGTCAGTGAGAAACATTATTTAATTGTAATACTTTGGATGAAGTTGCTGTTTTTGTTGAGTACTTGGTTTGTATTGTAATAATCCACTGCAAACTAATAACGAATAGCAAACTTCAGAAGTATGGAAATTACACTGTCTGATAAAAACCTGCTACGCAGTACAGTGATAACCAGCTCAGCCAAGGGGAAAATCAAGAAGAAAAATAGCTAATTCTATTTTCATGTGATTTATGATGCTGTTGTGTTTTATTTTTTAAACGAGAGAGAGATTTTTTCCCAGTGCTTTAGAAGCCTTCTTGGTTTGGCCTCACATCAGAAGAAATTGTACTGAGTGGATGTGAAAAGGCCCAGGACAATTGCACAGCTCACCCTGTAAAGATGAAAGCAGCCTGCTCTTTCTGGTACATCCCTGCTTTGATCTACATAATGTGGAAAACTGAAACCTTATGCCCAGCGTAATGCTGCAGGCTTCTGGCATGTTGCACGTCTTTGGGACACAGAGAGAAAAAGGTACGTTTATTCACAGTAATATCCTTTGTTTTCACTGTCTCCGTCTCTGAAATGGGACATAACCATCTGCTTTCTTATGGCTCATGTATCATACGTATTGGGATAAACCTGATGTCCCATGAGGTAGCCGAGAGCTTAATGGCAGTACTGCAAATAAGGATTCAGACGCATACTGTTTAAAATGGATTTGTAATCTGAGGTGTTTGAGTTTCTCAAGAAAACTAAATTGAACTTATTTATCACCATCATCCATCAGTTAAAGAACAAAAAAAGCCACAAATTACTCACATTTTTTCTTCAAGGCATTTTGTCAGATAGAACATATCTACTTATCTACGTCTATCATCTCTTTGCCCAGTACATAAAAAATCTCCGGGACACGTCTTGTAAAAATGCATAAACTAATTCAGGAATTCTAGTTTCTGAAGAATGACTTTGCTTCCACAGACCAGAAGAAGATGGAGAAAAACTCAGAAGCGACGTGCTCAGTGAACAGATATTTCTGAGAACTGGCTCTTTCTTTTCTTCCTCAGGATCCTCAAATTAGAAATATAAATTTGCTGGGATTATATTATTTCACAACTCGGAAATTAATATGCCACATTTCATTAGGACCTGTGCCTACTCTGCTGCAGAATATTTTCCTTTCTTCGTTGTATCTGTGACTTGCAATTGGAAATCCAGAATGGATCAGTATTATGTGGTCATAGCACAATGCAGTCTGACAAAACTCTTAATAAATGCCAAGAAGAAGATACGGACAGCCCGCTCCTAACCAGCCACTGCCGGACACCAACAATACAATCTGCATCTCTCTGATAATAGGAAACCATAATGATTTTCTTTTCCTGTAGCTTGTGAATGTGGAACAAAATCTTTTGCTTTGCAGAGCTGAAGATGACTGCTTGTACACTGATGAACAGCTCTGATGTTATTAGCCAAAGCTAATCGAGTTGCCTGGCCCCCGAATAACATGAAGTGTAAACGTGGCAGGATTTCAGTGGATTCCAATAATTGCCTGGGATAAGATGTCACTCTTGCTGGTTATAAACATGCTAATAACCATCCTCAGTGAGTTTTAGTTTTCTTTGCATATTCGAATGCCTATTCCCACCATATGTCCATGTAAATAAACACAGCGTATAGATGGGACAAAAAGTCCTAAGAGGGCATGTGATGGAATAACAGAAGAAACTCAAAGTTAATAAAAAGAATAAGTAATATTTCACTAAGTAGCTCACAAGAACACTGCGGAGTACTGGCAGCATTTTGGAAAGAGTTCTTGTAGGCTTTCCTCAAGATCAAGAGTGGTTTGCTACTATTTTAAAATAAATTTAGAAAGTTTCTTTGTCATAATTTATGCAAGCTGCCATAACATAGTCACTCAAAACGTGCATGTTAAGGACTCTAAAGTGCTTCTGTTCAATTTCGGAAGAGGATTTCTTGAGGTTCCAACAAACCAAAACCATTTCACCGAAGCCTCACTGAATAATTTTTCAAATATATTCACAGAAAATCAGCAAAACCCTTCTTTTTATTCTGGTAATTAGTCTTCTACAGAAACACAAAATGGTCTTCCTCCATATAAAACCAGCAGGGCTCCAGAGGACAACGTGGAGATAACCCTAACACTTGAATACATGAGCTGGTATTGTAGTGACACAAATGGCCTTACTTATATCTCCTTAACAGTGCTGGAAACCAAGCCACAAAACCTGAAATCCACTCTTCCAGGAGACTGACTTTCAATCCCCTGTCATTGATAAGTAAAAGAAGGCTAGAAGAATGCACAAGATCTTCTCTCATCTTGCACGCTGCATCATGGCTAGTTCGCCTTGTTAGCTGCGGATCCCATGCTGAAGAGTTTAGTTCCTCTTCTGCACTATCGAAAGCGCACAGCTACTTGGAACTTTTTTCTATGCTCAACTGCGAGAGATGCTGCAATAGTCATAATGTCAGCAAGCGAATCTGCTGGGAACATAGACTTTAATGCAATGATAGAAAGTCATTTATCATTTAGCAAAGGCAGAAAGTTTAAATCCCGATAAGCTTTTTTTTTTTCCCCCTGTATATAAAATCAATCATCTTAATCATTAAATATTGACCAACTCACCAAATGGGAGAAGAGCAATGGAAAGAACGTCCTCCCCTGAAATGAAGTAAGTGAGAACAGCTACAGGCTCTCTTCTAGACCACGTCCAATCTTAGCACCATTACTGACACAGCCTGTCGAGCACTTGTTTTCATTCAATACATCAAAACGCATATTAAAGAACAGAGATGAGTCTCTGCGTCTCACTAAATGTAGTTCTTAACTGTCATTTGAAATGTGACTCCAAAAGGGAAATGAGTTGTTGTCATTTAAACTTCATTTGTTCAGGATCGCTCTTGCCCAAAGTTGCTTGACTCATCACTACCTGTACCTGGCTAGGCTCATACAAAGCACAGGTCTCAAACTAATTTAGTCATCATTAGCGCACTCACTTTGTACCACTTTTTTGTTCTTGGCTTAATCATTATGCAGAAAACAGACCAACCTTTTATATTTTCCCCTCCACGTTTTGCCAGTTCTCCTCAGATTTCGTTGCCTATCAGAGCGTCAAAAGTTTTTTCAATTACAGATTTAGAGGATGATGTGCTGCATTTTAATGATAATCTTCTGGAGTGTGAGAACTAGGAACAAGAGACTTTTGTACCATAGGGGAATGAAGTGCTATCAGCTAGAAAGGAAAAAAAATAATAATAATTCAGTTTTATTAAAATTGTTCCTAAAGGGATACATTCTGTTCTCAGAATAACTGAATGAATTTACAGAGCAGTGTTCCCCATCTGCAGGGTTAGAATTGAAAGGCCATATACTATTGAGCTGCATGTGAAATATTCCAGTTCCAGAAATGCCATTAGGAGCAACAGATCCCATCGTTTTGCTTTGACAATATTTTGTTCTCAGACACGCAACTGACTTTGTTTTCAATCATTCAGAGAAATCAATCTGTTTAAGTTTAGGATTAAGTATTGAGGAGCACTCCGAGAAAAGCTCCTGACTTGCACCTCACAAGCATTGCCCTAGGGACTGCGGGGCTTCCTGGTTTACAGGATAAGCTACTGTAGCTGTATCTTCCTCTTACTGAACACCTACTAGCTTCTGATATCATTCCTAAATCCATTAAGATTATTTGGGAACCTCCCTGTGTTGTTTGTTTGTTTTGGACAAAATATCTTTCCCTGTCTTAATTTGTATTCTATGCCACCAGGTAACTTATCACGTCCTTTGTTACACAGGAACATTTCCCATCGCCTGTATCAATCTGTTCAGGTAATGCTGCTACAAATTTGGATAAAAACAGTTTTTTGGATAAAAACTATCCAAATTTGGATAAAAACTAATTAAGTTATTTTTCAAAAGCCTTTTGGGGCCCGAACCCAAATTAGAAAGATGGATACTAAATTATTAATTTATCGTTATTTAATTTAATAAAATATGTATATATATATATATTCTTTTTTCTTATGGACATTTCTCTAATTTTGTTGTTTTAGGAGAGAAGTTCCCTCTTTGAGACATCAATTCCTTTTTGACCGCTACGCCCTTTTTGATCTCTGCTAAGTCTCTTCCTGTTAACATACTAAAAAGGAAGAAAAGAAAAAAGACAGATTGCATACACTTAAGTTTTCAGAGGTGAAAGCACCAAATGCCTGGTAGAAAATGTAGGTAAATAAAGATAAATGGCAGCTTGGGACCTCTCCAACTGGACGATTCAACATCTAGCTGCTTCTCTGAGATACGTTTGGAGCGAACAACATTTATGCAGTGTATTCAGGCTCGGGCATGACATGGCCTGCCACATAAGAATGAACAACTCTGCTCCAGAAGTCTGCCTAAACTGCAGTACTAGCCGCTACTCTTGTATTAAATTGGCCAAAAATTATTCCTTTTCAAAAAGGTTACGCAATAGCCTCAAGAATATATTTTTGCCTATGCAAAATTCTAGCACTCCTTGATCTTTTAACTGCATCCATTCAAGTATTATTTTATAATTCACTAAATGCCTCACGCATAATAAGAATATATGGCACAAGATCTTTAGGGAAGGGACCAAGAGAGAGAATGAGGACATTATGAAGCAAAAAAATGAGAAAAAAATTTGGATTAACATTTCCTGAGTTATAACACTGATGAACCAAGTGTAAATTGCAGCTGACAGAACACATCTAAAAAGTATACTGAAGGGGTTGAATCCAGCATTCTGCACAAGTTACACACACGGGTTTTAATGCTTTTCTTTAATGGCATAAGACTATGCACAAGGATACTTCAAACAATTCCTGCCATTTTTATGAGGCTAGCTGGATAAAATGAGGTTTTCATTTATGCAGCTTTGGGACTGGGCAGCTACATTCCTTTTCACAACTGATTTCTGATGAATGAGAGTTGAAAATAATAGGCGATACATCAAAATGGCCCTCCCAGGCCAGAGCAGAAAGCTATGTAGGTCAGCATTTTGTTGCTGAGAATTGACACTTGATGCATATATTTTAGCACACAAAAAAAGTTAAAATCAAGTTTTTCACCTACCTAAGGCTTCTTGAGATTCATTTTTTGCTTAAGTAATGTCACAAAAACTGCCAGACATAACTATCACAACTGCGTAACTGCAGTAATTAGGAAATTGAGACAGAAAAAGTTTTGATGCTAAAGAACGTCATATCATAGCCCATCAAAATGTTAATGAAGGCCTATACACACACCTGTTGTATTTTATGCAGGAGGATGAACAGACTGGGAAGCATGCAAATACAGCATAATGGGTATATAGCACGGACTGAACACGAGATGCTGGAGCCATAGGGAAAAAGCAATCAGCCAGCCAAAAAGAATGAGAAAAGATCATAACCTTTCAAATGGTTCCAAAGTAAAATATTTCAGGAAATGCTTTAAATCTGAAATGAAACATATTACATCTATGGATAGAATGGAATTAAAACAGTATCATTCTTTGGGTGACCATTTGAAGAGGGTGAAAACCATTTACACCTGATCCCATTTACACCTTATGGAGCAGTACACCTCCCAAGCCTGCAGTCTCTAATCCAGTAAAAGGGGCATTTCTTGTCAAGCGTGGTATTCAAAAGTTTCAAAACATTACGGTACTGAAAAGTTACAGGAATTACAACACATTCCCTGAGAAGTCACAGACACGTTATGTTGTAACGTGGCACTAATTCTGACGATTCTCAAATTTGAATTAGAGCTGCTAACAACGCTCATAGCGCTTTGGGGAACAATCAAGATGGAGCAAGCGATCACTGAAATAGGTTTCTGCTCCCTAGAGGATTTCTTCTGCTTTCTTCCAAGGAGTAACAATCTGGAATGCTTACTTTTTTTTATCTGATAGCTTTGGCTTACCTGCACTCTGGGAGATGAATCCCTTGGCTAGCCTCTCAGTCCTGCCCTATCTGGGAAACCTTAAGGGCACATAAAAAAGCACTTGCCAGGTTGCACACCTGGCTAGCAGGCTCCACAGCTGGAGGAGGAGGAGGGTGGCAAACTACTAAAGACAGGGCATTTACCACCTCTCTTGGCAGATTGCGCCAGTGCTTCACGCTCTTATTGCAAAAGTCTTTTTCCTTATAGGCAATCTAAGTTTGTCCTCTTTTAGTTTGAAATCATTTCTCCTTGTCCTACCTATAAACCCTGCTAAAGAGTCTGTCCCCTTCTTTCTTACAGCCCTCTTCTAGACACTGAAAGGCTGCTCCCAGATCTGCCTTGGGCTCAACAGCCCTAGCTCTCAGTCTACTTATAGGGAGATGCACTATCCCTGGGGTCATTTCTGTAGCCCTCCCCTGGACATGCCCAACAGGTCAACATCTCTCCATTTTGCAATCACCACACCTAGAAAGAACACCCTAGGGGAGAACTCCCCAGCACTTGTTGCTCACCTGGTTATACTTTCCTACCTGCTTCCCTGGAGAAAGACCTACAGTTACAGCACAATCACTACCAGCTTCTAGAGCAAATAGGAGCAAGAGAAGCTCTCCCACTTTTTATTGGATATGGCTGATTGCTTCATTGGGCAAGCTGTGATTGGAGGCAGCATAAAAAGGCAGGTCAGGGCTGAGGAGGCAGCACTCAGGTTTGTGGAGACTGAAGGAAGCAAAGAGTCTACAGTGAGTAGTTGGTGAACTTCTCTTCTTACAAGTATCTGGTATGTTGTAGCAGGGTTGGTTTGAGTGGTTGTTTGGTGGTGGGAAAGCAAAATCTCTATATTTTGTGTTATTTGCTGTATGTTATATATAGTATTGTGTTTTGGGAGGGTATATTGGTGGCTTTTGTTACCCTGTGTATTTTAGAGTTAGCTTATCTTCTGGAGCTTAAGATTGTTGGGTGAGGACATTGATGTTAGACTTTCCTTTACTGTGTTTTGTTTAATAGGTTTTTTTTTTTTTTTTTTTAAGAGCTTTGAAAGACTGTTGTGGCTACTGTTGTTACTGTTTTTAGTGAGAGGATGTCTCTCGCACAGTTAAACTTCAGTAGGATTATTAATGTGCTTTATTTTTCTAGGCTGAAGTTGTCCTTGGCAGCTGTGTGTTAGTTAACAACCTTGCTATACTGCAGTTCATGTGGGGGTTGCCCGGGAAGGGGGTGGATCAACAAGTCCAACGGTCAACGTGTTTATGGTGACAGATCACTAGGGAGCTGGACATAAAGGTTTAAGTATTTTCTTCCTGAAGGATAGTCTCAGAAGGGTGTGGGTCTTCAATTTTTTGTTTACAAGACTAATGCTACTACTTCCGTATGTGTTAATAACTAAGACCGCTAAAGTAAGTGATCCTAAACTTCAAAGTTGGTACCTTGATTTGTCAGTACAGTTTCTGAATGGTGAAGGTAGTTGTTGAGGATAAGCTGAGTAGGAAAGCAGCTCTAAGAGTTGTGTAATAGTTACTAGGATGTTCTTAATGCTCTTAGTAGTGGGGGCACTATAATTGGGTTGTTTGGGAACTATGAAGTCAGGGCCTGAGCCACTAATTGAGCACCTGAAGACCTGGTCAGCCCTGAAAGCACAGGTGAAGGCAATTCACATGTGTGATAGGAAGGGGTGGAGTCTGACTGCACCTCTTATCAACCTCACTTAAGGATCGACCACTACTGAGAAGGATCTTTTTCTGAAGATTCCCCCTTGGTGGATCTTTTCCCGGTGTACCTGGAATCTCCTGTTACAGGTGAGCAATCTACTTTATAGTACCTTTCTATTGTGTTGGTCCTTCTGCCATCGCACCTCTGTCATAATGCCTTTCCCACCATATTAATCTGCCTAATCACTACACAGGGCTAAGGACTTGTCTCCATTTCTTTTACTTGATTTGCACCATGATGAGCTGTTCCTAGAGCCAACGAATTACTTTCTCCTTTTAAAAATTAAATGGGACTGAGGCTCAGATGCTGGAATTACTACGACTTGCTCATTTGGACTACTTCTCAGAAGGTAAGGATGGTTAACTTTTTCAATCTTAAAGGACTTCTGTGTATTGGTTCTGGTTTAAGAATTAAGGCTGGTATAGGAATGATGTGTAGGAATATGAGACAATTGTTCTCTTGTTTGAGTTTTGAGTAGGTGTGATGGGGGGGTTGGTGAGGTGGCTCACTGAGTTATTAATAGTATGCATGGTGTAAGAGGCAGTAAAGAGGGTTGTGACTGGTTAAAATAATTGTTAGTATCATAACTGTCTTGTTCCACTGATCTCAGTTCTGACACTGGGTATGTTGATTGGGGTCCAACTAAGCTTGTTAGCTAGTAGTACCGTACTTGTTAGCTAGTAATCGTCACGTGATTATGAGAGGTAGATTGAGGATTTGCCCATTTGTTCTTCTACAGTTGATATTAGCCAGGCAGAAAGAAATGAGGAGGTAAGTCCATGGGAGATGATGAGCACTTCTACCCCTGAGAACAATCTGTGGATTGGAATTACACTCGCACCTATGACTGACGCATAAATAAGCAATAAGAGATATTAGATCTGTTTGGCATAGGAGAACTGACCAAGCTCTCCATAGGTCCAGGGTAAAGAAAGAATGATGTGGGCGGTTTGGTAGAAGGACAGTGTGTATAACACCGTATCCTCCTAGCTTTAATGGCAGCGAGTAGCACTGAGCCTGCACTGGGGGTTTTCTGTGGACTTCTGGGAGGTGTGCACGGAGACCACACAGGGAGGCTTTTCCTGTCAAATTCATCAGAAGGACTAGGTGAAATAGGATGTTCCTGAGGTCGTGAGGACAGAGGGTGGGTTTCAGAGCAAGTAGGTGCAGAGTGCTGGATTTTATGTGCAGGTACGGGATTGTGATTAGAAGCAGTAATGAGACGACGAGAATGTAGGATGGCTGCTAGATGCCAGTATTTAGGTTCTCTGCTTGTTCTGTGATCGTGGCTTGAAAACTAGTGTTGGGATTAGGGTTGCTTTAAATGAAATAATAATACAAGTTCTGTGGTTGAGAATGCTAGGAGGGATGGTTCGTTTATAATTACGGTTAAAATAAACAGCTATTTGTGGTAGGAGTTGACGTAGATAACTGTGGCACATAACTGTAAGTGGGAAGAGTCAAGGATGATACTAGAAATAGGGATGAGACTTGGCCAGGAGTATTCTTAAAAGGTAACATACTGAGGTATGTCAACAGAGACCAATGGTGGCTATTAGAATCATATAATTGCTCAGCTTAGAAAAGACCTTTGAGATCACGAAGTCCAACTGCAACCCAACCGCGCTACCCTACCTCTAACAACCCACTGCTAAATCGTGTCCCTGAGCAACCATATCCAAATGGATTTTAAATACATCCAGGGATGGTGATTCAAGTACCTCCCTAGCGAGTCTATTCCAGTGCTTAACTACTCTTTCTGTAAAGAAGTTTTTCTGGTATCTAATCTATATCTCCACTGGTGCTACTTGAAGCCATTTCCCCTCATCCTGTCACAAGTGAGAAGTGACCCCGCTCTTGCTGCAGTCACCTTTCAGATCTCTGAAGAGAGCAATAAGGTGTCCCCTCAGCCTCTCTTTCCCCAGGCTATTTCCTTCAGTCTCTCCTCATAGGGCATATACTCCAAGCCCTTCACAAGCCTTGTTGCCCTTCTCTGGACCTGCTCCAGCACTACAATGTCTCTTCTGTACTGAGGTGCCCAAAACCGAGCGCAGGACTCGAGGTGTGGCCTCACCTGTGCCAAGAACAGGGGCAGGGCTACTTCCTTAGTGCTGCTTACCACACCATTCTTGATTCAAGCCTTTTTTTGCCACTTGGGCACACTGTTGGCTCATATTCTGCCAACTGTCCATCAATACACCAAGGTCATCTTCTGTCAGGCAGCTTTCTTGGTGCTCCTCCCTGAGCATGTAGGGTTGCCTGGGTTGCTGTGACCCAATGCAGGATCTGACAGTCAGCCCTATTGGAACTTGTACAGTTTTACCTGGGCCCATCAGTCCAGTCTATCTAGGTCCTTGTGTAGTGCCTCTCTATTCTCTGGGGGATCCAACTTGTTGTCTGTAAACTTACTGAGGGTGCACTCAATCCCCCTCATTAAGATCATTAATTAAGTTGTTAAATAGGAGCAGGTCCAGTTCTGAGCCCTGGGGGACACTGCTGGTGACCGGCTGCCAGCTAGACTTAACTCCACTGACCACAACTCATTGGCCCAGCCACTGTTTCACCCAGCACTGCCTATGTCCATCTGAACCATAGGCAGCCAGCTTCTCCGTAACATTGTAGTGGGGAACAGCATGGAAGGCTCTACTGAAGTCCAGGTAGACAACATTACCAGCCTAGCCTTCATCTGCTAAGTAGGTCACCTAGTCACAGAATGAAATCGGGTTTGTCAAGCAGGATCACGAACCCGTGCTGGCCGGGCCTAATTCCCTGACTGAC